TCCTCTTCGTCGTATCAAATATTATCAATTACCATGTCAAAAACGTTTACCACTTTTATCTTGTTTCTATGATGATAATCATTTTTGTTTCTGTAATGATTATGATCATCAATGTTTGACTAATTGTTTTGAATTCAATCATAGAATTGAACATAATTGTTTTGGTCAAAGTAATTGTGAAAATGATGCACATTGTTTACAAGACAAAGCAACTTGTCCACAAACATCGATCTGTGTTTGTTCAAAATGTTTTTATGGAGCAAGATGTCAATTTACTTCAAATTTATTTGATCTTTCGCCCGATGCTATCTTAGGTTATTATATTCAACCACATATAAATATTAAACATCAACCATCTATTGTACAAGTCAGTGTGGCATTGACAATAATCATTATCATAGCTGGAATTACTGATAGTGTTCTATCGATAATTACATTTAGAAATAAAGAATCGCGTAAAACTAGTTGTGGTCTCTATTTGTTGACTTCGTCAATTATTACTTTACTTATTATGATTATTTTTGCATTGAAGTTTTGAATACTTATCATTGCACAAATAACATACATGACAAATCAATCATTTTTAAAGTTTCAATGTATTTTTATAGATTTTCTTCTAAGAATTGGTCTTAGTATGGATCAATGGTTAAATGTATGTGTAGCTATAGAAAGAACAATTACCACAATAAAAGGAACTAGATTTGATAAAAACAAGAGCAAACAAATAGCTAAATATATTATTCTTATTCTTCTCTTTATGACTACTAGCACAACTATTCATGATCCTATTAATCGATGTCTACTGAATGAAAATGATGATGTTGATGAGAAAAGAATTTGGTGTATTGTTAGTTATTCAAGCAATCTTCGAGCATTCAATTCATTCATACTTATATTTCATTTTCTTGCCCCATTTTTCATCAATATTATATCAGCTATTATTATTATTGTAATGATTACTCGACAACGAACAACTGTACAAAAACATCCACCATATAAAAAATTATTACGTGAACAATTTCAACAACACATAAATTTAATAATCGCTCCATTTGTTTTAGTTATTCTTGCTGTGCCACGTCTAATTCTTTCTTTTGTTGGAGATTGTATGAAGTCAACTAGGGGTTCATGGCTATTTCTTATTGGATATCTTATTTCATTTGTTCCATCTATGTTAACTTTTTTATTATTTGTTTTTCCATCAGAATCTTACAAACAAATATTTCGACAGACTATCGAACAATATGGACGAACAATGCGAATACGGTTGCATCTCAGTTCATAGATAGTTAGTAAAAAAAACATTGTAATGATTTAAAATAATGTAAAGATGTTCATTTT